CTTGTTAATCAGTATCAAAATAATCAAGATCATAAACTAGTATTATTGAAATAAAAATTTGATCAACTTTTTCTTGGTAAATACATCTGACTGCCTATACAACAACAGAAAGTTAGGTAACAAATGAGTTTACTCCATTAAATTTCTCACACATTCCACAAAATTTAACTCAACGTGGGTCAAAGACTTTAATATAGGAGCTAAAAACATAAAACTCTTACAAAATGTAAGTGAAATATTTGTGACTTTAAATTTGACATTGATTTCTTACATATGACACCAAAAGTACAAGCAACCAAAGGGAAAAATATATAAATTGGACTTCATCACAGTGAAAAACTTTGGCTTCAAAGGATAATATTAGAACAGTGAAAAGACTACTCACTGAATGGGGAAAACATTTCCATATCATAATCTGATGAAGGTGTAATATATCAAGAATATCGAAAAACAACAAATAAAATGAAAAAGAATATATAAAGAACTTTCACAAGTCAATCCTAAAAGACAAATAATCTAATTAAAAGATAAGCAAAGGAGTGAATGGACATTTCTGCAAAGAAGGTACACAAATGGTCAATATATACATTAAAATATTTGATATCATTTATCAGATAAATCTAAATCCAAACCATTTTATCCCCTTTAGGTTAGCTAAAATAAAAATAACAGCAATGATTATTGGTGAAGATGTTGAGAAACTGATACCTTTATCCACTACTAGTAGGAATGTAAAATGGTGCAGCTGTTTTGCAAAACAGTTGGGTAATTCCTGACAATTAAATAAAGAAATACCATTTGACCTAAAAACTCTACTATTAAAGAATATGCCTAATAGAAATGAAAACATATGTTCATGTAAAGATTTGTATATGAATGTCTGTACTAGTATTCTTCATAATGGCCAAAAATGTCCATCAAGACATAAATGCAATCTTATTAAGCCAAAAAAAGGACTGAAAAAGGAATATATACAGACTCAGGCTGTTTTATTTTGTTCAATAATAAATAGTGAGATTTCTTATGCAAAAAGTGAACATTTCAAGAGCTAATATAGTTGACACATTCACTTTTTGCATTAAGAAATTAATGTGTGAGGGAGCTGGGGTTGTGGCTCAGCAGTAGAGCACCCACCTAGCACATGCATGGCCCTGAGTTCAATCCTTAGCACGACATAAAAATAAACAAATAAAATAAAGGTATTGTGTCCAACTACAACTAAAAAATAAATATTTTTTAAAAAGAATTTAATGTGTGAACATTGCATAGGTACATGCCAATAAGATAACATAGATAATGAATCAATAATTTCTTTGCTCAGTCAAGATAAAAAGAACATGATTATTACCCAATCTAGTGGAATTTCAGAAAAAGATGTATAGTTTTAAATGCCCTCAGCATCAGAAACAAAGGAACAATAAAAGAGAAAATAACATACTACTTTATGGTGCTGAGGATTGAGCCCAGTGTTTTACATATGCTAGGTGAACACTCTACCTCTTGAGCCACAACCCCAGTCCCAGCAATTATTATTTTAAATAGCAACATATTAAGAGTATTTCAAGGGAAACCCTGGAGCACACAGGAATGCTGTGTTTATTGTTATCTAATGTTTTTCATGTTTTCTAATAAATTCTATCAGATAAGAACATGAAATAATTGGTTATAAACACTAGAAAGATCTAAAATCTGTCTCATTTTATTAATGATATGATTGAATACCCACAAATATTAGGCTAAAATTATTATGATTAATATGGTATTGGAACTAGATCAAGATGAATATGCACAAAGTAATAGCTTTTCTCTATTTTAGTACTAAGCACTTACAAATGAAAACTGGGGGTTCAACCCAATATTAAAATGGGCTTCACACATTCTAGGCAAGTGCTTTACCACTGAATTACATCCCTAGTCTTTTTTATTTTGAGACAGTCTTAGTAAATTGCCTAGGCTGGCCTTGAACTTGTGATCCTCCTGCCTCAGTCACCCAAGTATGTGGGATTATAGAAGAAAACCATTTTATTAACAATAGCAACACATTTATAAATGCATAGGCATAATGCAATAACAAAATTACTTAAATATATTAATAAAGTTAATGTGAAAATTTAATGAAATTTCAGTTAGAATCACAACAGCTCTTGGGTCTTTTTAATCTGATAAATAAGTTAACTTTTTTGTTCTAGTGATTGAACCCAGGGGTACTCTACCACTGAAGAACACACCCAGACCTTTCTATTTTTATTTTGAGACAGGGTCTCACTAACTTGCTGAGGCTGATCTTGAACTTGCAATCCTCCTTCCTCAACATTCCTAATCTCTGGTACTACAGGTGTGTGCCAGTGGGCTGACTGTGAAAGCAATCTGCACTGTTCATTTTGTACTTTTCTTAGTTATTCTTAGGCACTTTATTTTTCCACAAAAAAAGCTTTAAGATATTTACCTGGCACAGTGGCACATGCCTATAATCCCTAGCAACTTGGGAGGCTGTGGCAGGAGGATTGCAAATTCAAGGCCAGCCTCAGCAAATTTAGTGAGGCCCTGTATCAAAATAAAGATAAAAAACAGCTGAGGATGTTGCTTAATAGTGGAACATCCCTGGTTTCAATTCCTAGTACCTGAATGAATGAACGAAGGAATGAATTGATGAATAAATAAATAAATAAATAATAAAGGTTGCTTTTACCAGATATCAGGATATATTAGAGGTCCACTATAATCACCTCAATATGGTACTGGTATAGCAAGATGATAGTAGGTCAATGAAATAGCATAATAAATCCAAAAACACATATTGCTATGTGAGAATTTTTATAAGATTAATGTGTTATTTCAAATTAATGGTAAAGCTGAATTATTTTATAAATGATGCCATCACAATAGGTCATTGATATGGATAAAAATAAAGCTAGACAGATGCCTCTCTTATTCCCTATAGAAAACATAATTAGCAAATGAGTTGTAAAAAGCAAAACAGTAAAAATCTTGTAAGAAAATCTGGGAGAATACATTTGCAACACTGAAGTGTGGAAGACATTTTTAAACAGCCAACTTTGAAGATATGAAATAAAATATATAGTTGACTATAAAAATTAAAGCCATTTTGGCAAAATTATAACGAAGGGCAATAGACAAATAATAGATCTTGGGAAATTGCAATAATCATGAAGCAAATTAAAACTTGAAATAATAAGAGGGGTCTTGTAATTAATTAAAAAATTAAAGAGCACAAAGAAAAAAATAATAAACAAGTTCCATTTTAGAAGTTGCTTAAGCTCAGTAGAAATAAAAATAATTCAATTAAAGTAATGTTGCAGGGCTGGGGATGTGGCTCAAGTGGTAGCGTGCTTGCCTGGCATGCACGTGGCACTGGGTTCGATCCTCAGCACCACATACAAATAAAGATGTTGTGTGCGCCAAAAACTAAACAATAAATATTTAAAAATTCTCTCTCTCTCTCTCTCTCTCTCTCTCTCTCTCTCTCTTAAAAAAAGTAATGTTGCAGCATCACTCTACATATGGTAGTGAGTGCAAAGATATAGTGCAAAGTGAGTGGAAAGGTGTGTATAAGTTCACACTTATATAAAACAAACTATGGAAAAGAAAACCCTCACGGGTAGGTGTGTATTATCATCCTGGGATGCCTGATTGGGATAGGCAAGAAGGGGTGTGTGTAAGGAGAATGGGGAAAATCAAACAAAGATGATAATTTAGAGCTGGGGCTATAGCTCAGTTGGTAGAGTGCTTGCCTCGCCTGCACAAGGCCCTGGGTTCAATCCTTAGCACCACCAAAAAGAAAGATGATAATGTATAACATGACTACATTTAGTATTTACATTGGCATAAATTATGTATTGTGTTTAAATCCTTATAGTACACATTTAAGGAAAAAACACAAAATTTAAAATAAATAATTCCAGCATTTCACTCAATAAAGTAAAAGTAAAACAACAAAACAAAGCCAATGAAATTGGAAAAAAGGAATGACTTACATAAAGAAAAAAAGAATTGATAAATCAACCCAAAAGATTGTTCTTTGCAAGACCAATAAAATCAAGAAAATTCTGGAAGAATTTTGAAGACAGAAAGAGAATAAACATCATAAGGAAATGAAAAAGTAATATTACAGACACAGAATAGGTCAGCGAAAATCACAGAGACTGATGGGCCTGGTGGTCCATGCCCATAATCCCAGCAATTTGGGAGGCTGAGGCAGGAGGATCTACGTTCAAAGGCAGCCCCAGCAACTTAGCAAATCTCTAAGCAATTTAGCAAGATACTTTCTCAAAATAAAATCATGGCTAATATTAAAAGGGATGAAGATGTAAGTCAGTGATAAAGTGCCCCTGGGTTTAATCCCTACAACCTAAAATAAAAAATCACAGAGACTGTTATGTAACTCAATGCCAATACATTATCAAATCTGGGGATAATAAATTGCTTTCTATTATTTCTAAAACATATATAACCAAAACTGACTGGAGAAGAGGTAGAAAAATGTGAATGAACCAATGACTGCATGTATTACTGTAAAGATCATCTACTTTCCTCAGAGTAAATGAGTAAATGCTCCAGAACTTCCAAAAGAGGAAAAGCTTCTGAAATCACAGCTAATATTACGAAAAAACATACCACATACACACATCAGAGAACTGGAAACTAAACTCAGTTCAGTTGATTGGATCTCACTGTCCTGATTCTGCCTATGAAAGTTTGGGTAGGTCAAGGAAAGTTTGGTTCTTTTTCCTTTGCTGCTTGTCTCTCTACCACACTCTGTACATTTCAGAGTTACAGAATGTGACAGAGATGCAATGGGCAAAACAGAACAAAACATCAACTGATAGGTTAGATGTCTGAAAAGAAATGACACCTTACCTGGAAATGTTTTTTATCAGGGTTTAACTAAGCATTATAGCCATCCTAACTTGCGGTCAGCAACTTTCTCCAACCAGAATCACATCCCCATAATGCTGTAGGAATATAGGTATAGCCTTTACCTTGTGTCAACATGCAGCTCACTGAGCAGGTCACTTTTCATATAATCCCAGGAGAGTTCCACAGCACCCAGGTAATATCTTCGGATGGCACTAAAGCTGAATTGTAAAAGGCACAGAAAGAAGCAGCTAGAGAGTTCTATTTGCATGGCTCTTATTGCTAGAAAATGTTCTACAGCAGAAATAAAAGTGTAACTGTTCTCTAAAATATCTTTAGCTCCCAGGAGAAAAAAGGTAAATTTTCTATGATTTTGTGAAAAGTCCCAAATGTTTTGAAGAGAAATGTAGAGGACTTCATCTGCTGGATGTGACAGCAGCATGAACAGTAAGCAGTACCAGACAGAACTGCTTCCTTTTGGGCATTGGGAAGCAGCCACAGGAAAAACTGGAGTAGGAAAAGGGTGCATGAGCTAATGCTTAACCCATTCACTTCTGAAGGCAGTAGAGGCATGAAATGTCTACTATAAATTAGAATTTTGGAGGAAAGGAAAAGAAGGAGGGAGGTCACAGTGAAGAGATGCTTTAATATCTACTAATTTTCCTGGTCTACTCTGACTCTGTTCCTTAGGGGCAGCAACAAGAGAAGGTTCAGGATGTGAAAGGTTCTTGACTCTCATATTACTCTGCTTTCACCCTTGGGTCTTGTGTAACTCCCACAATGTGGTTTTTTTTTTGTTTTGTTTTGTTTTGTTTTGTTTGTTTGTTTGTTTTGTGTGTGTGTGTGTGTGTGTGTACTGGGGACTGAACCAGGGACAGTTTACCACTGAGCTACATCCCCAGGGTTTTTGTTTTTAATTTTGAGACAGAGTGTTGCTAAATTGCTTAGGGCCTTGCTAAGTTGCTGAGGCTGGTTTTGAACTTGTGATCTTCCTGCCTCAGCCTCCCAAGCTGATTACAGATGTGCACCACTGTGTACAACACAAGTGACTTTAAAACTATGAAGTGAGTCATGTGAATTGTGTGGCTGAGAATCCTCCAACGGCTTCTTACCTTCTTAGGTAAAATCCTGTAACTTGGGCTGGGATTGTGGCTTAGTGGTAGAGCGCTCACCTAGCACAGGAGGGGCCCCGGTTTGACCCTCAGCACCACATAAAAATAAAGGTATTGTGTTGTGTCCATATACACCTAAAAATAAGTATTTTTTTTTTTTTTTGGTGAGTGATGGTTTATTGAACTGGACTGATACAATTCCTAGCTTGTATTTTACCTGAAGAGGTTTCATTTCTTTAAGGGTAGAGATTTGTGAGATCTTACAGGAAAGGGGAGAGAGAGTGCAGGAGGTGTGCCTGTTTGTTCCTTTAGAGGGTTCTTTGCTGATATTTCCTCTTCTTTTTCCAGGGTAGTGGGAAGTTGGGACTGATCAGGTACATCAGACAGATTTGGGGTAGTAAAAATAAGTATTTAAAAAAATCGTATAACTTTACCATGGCCTAAAGCATCTCACATTGTCTGCATGTTGCTTTTATGTATTTTTTTTTATCTGAGCTTGCTCTTGCCATGCTGTCCTCCTTGCCTTTTCCTAGAGGCATGAAATGTCTCATGGCCTACAGTATAGTAGTATAGTCCTTTACATTAAACACCTTTCTCCTGTATCTTCATGTGATTCCGTTCCTATATTTCTTTTGAGTTTTGGCTCATATTTTGCCTGTGAGATTTCAAATGGTTGAGATGTTTACTGTTATTGAATAAGTCTGTCAGCTTCCTTTTTCTTAAAAGTATTCATGAGTATGTGTCATTGATTTTGTTTATTTATTATGTGGTCTTGTTATCTGATGTATTTGTTTGGTCTAGGTATAGGATATATCTCCTTACTTCAAAATGTAGCTATGCTGAGGTCAAGCAGAGAGTGTACTCAGGTTAATATGTATTAGAGGGATTGAGTGCCTTCCTAAATGTCTCAAAGTGCAGGAGCTAAGGTAAAGAAACTTTATCAGCTATAAGAAATGTTACCATTTAGTCCACTTCTGCATGAATGAGAATGGTTATTGAGTAATTGTTGAGCTTTTGTCTAGCGTGCTAACAAGTATCGAGAAAAATCTGTTTGATAGACATTTGGTGAGACCTCCTATGTTCTAGGAAGCGGCATGCAAAGATAATAGCTGGCAGGTAGTATATGCAGGAAATCTATGCGAGTAATTTCTAACATATCTGCTATTCTTGTGTTCATTTCTGGGGCAGTGCAACCAAGCAGAAAGGGGTTAGGGAATTTGGTCGTGGTCACCAAATTCAATACTACACCAAAGCTGTAGTATTGAAATATATATAATTGAGCTCTAGAAATCATGCTCCTAATTAGTGTGGTAAACTTTTCTGCCCCAGAAATGAATAAACCCTGTTGGTGTCATCTGAGGGTCACAGTTTAATGGGAACGACAAAAAAAGTAGACATATACTCACAATATAGGGTGTGCCAGGTGTTTAGCACTTACTGATTTCATCCTCACGATGACATTGTCAAATGGGTACAGATAAACAACTGAGGCAGAAGGAGGTTTTCTTATTGCCAATACCCATTTGTCCTAAACAGAGATTGTTGTAGGCAGCGGGTGCACAGCAAAGAAAAATAGGAGACAATAAGTAGTAGTTAAGACACATAAGTATGTTGTGATTGGAATGTTTTAAATGTGTAAATTGTGTTTTCCACCTTGAAACAGTTGTGGGCATATCTGAGGAGATGATATATCGAACAGATATGTGGTCAGTGATTACAAACTAGACGAGCACGGCTTTAGGTGAAAAAAAATTGGGGGGGGCGGGGGTACTGGGAATTGAACCCAGAGTGCTTTGCCATAGAGCCACATCTCCATCCCTTTTTATAACCTTGTCCAGTTTCGGGTGAAATATTCTTATTAGGGAAGGGTAGCATGGTGGTTACCGCAGCGAAGAGGGTTTCTGCGCAAGCGTATCTGCGCAAGTCATTTGGGCGGGGCTATGGGGCTTGTGACGCCGACCGCAGAGCCTTGTGACGCAGCTGTTAAGGGGGCGGGCAGGTGCTGCCGCGCCTAGCCCGCCCTCTTCCGCTGCCGCCGTGGGAATGGAAACATCTGCCCCACGTGCCGGAAGCTTGCTAACCACACCAGCGCGGTACTCCGCGTCCTGCCGCGCCGATCCTCTGCGAGTGGCCTCGCGAGAAGTGCTCGCCGAAATGGCTGCGTCCAGTCAAGGTAAGGGCTGGAGCGCGCGCGAGCTGCGCCTTGGGGAGCCGCCTTCCAGGGCTCGGGAAGTGGGAGGGCTCCGCGCCTGCCAGTCCGTGACGAACTCCCCAGGGGACCCTAGTGGCTAGGGGAAGGATAAGGCGCCATGACCCTCCCCTGGCCCAGTCACTCCAAAGTCCGGCCAAGGTCACGCGCTGGGCTGGGGCTGAACTGCCTGGGATGTTGTTTTCGTGGCGTGCTCGTGCAGACTTCCGGTACCGCTCCCAACTGCTGAGTCCTGGAGACATTCCGTCCCTGTTGTCGGAAGCGCTCCATTCCCTCGAGAATAGCCTCTTTGTCCCTTTGGACGTTCATATTAAATGTTGGGCGGGTGTCATTTTCATTCGGGGCTCCCCATCTGCGTTATTTATCGTTTTTCAAAAAAGAACAACATATGACATATTACTTTCAAATACTCCGTTTAGTCAATTTACTAACAGGGACCTTACCTTAACATGATTTGCAGTAACAGGGCTTGGTGGTGCACTACTATAATTCCAGGGACTCGGACACTGAAGCAGGAGCATTGCAAGTTCAAAACCAGCCTCACAATTTAGCAAGACCGTGTTTTTTAGGGAAAAAAATATTGGGGATACTGTATTAAAATGAAAGTACTCAAACCTCATCATCTCATTATTTACCATATTTTACAGTTATCTATGCCCCTTCAGTAATTTACATCTATTTTATATGTGCATTTCTTCCCAGTACTGGTTTCAGTAATGTCACAATTTATGCTCAACAAATACACCATAGAAATTGGTATGTACTATAAATGAATTCCTACCTAAAGCCAATATTTAAGCATTTATCAATACCACTTAATTTAGGTGACTCCAAGCAGTTGACCATTGTTGTCTTGCAAAACAAACTGCAGGCACTCACTTAAAATGTACACCTTGATCAGATAATGCTACTTAGGGATGCTTTTGTGAATTTTTTTAAAGGGGGATACTGGGAATTGAACTCAGGGACACTCAACCACTGAGCCACATACCCAGCCTTATGTTGTATATTATTTGCAGACAGAGTCTCACTAAGTTGCTTAGCACCTTCGTAAGTTGCTGAGACTCACTTTGAACTCATGATCGTCCTGCCTCAAGCCTCCTGAGCCACTGAGATTACAGACATGTGCCACCACACCTAAAGTGAAAAATTTTGAGATTCACACACATTACAATCTTTGTCATGCTGATGATCACATGATAATAAACATGGCTACTATTTGATGAATAGCCATGTTTCATGAATGTCTAGAAGAAATTAGATAAACCCCACAGTTCCATAATTTAATCCCCCCCCCATTTTAAAACATTTTAAAGAAATTTTTCCCTGATTAAAATCAAAGAGTTTTGTGAATTATAACAAGTTAATTTTAGTTTGGGAAGAGTTATATACAAAACTAGAAGACAAGAAATTAAAAAAGATTTTTTTTTAGTTTTAAATGGACGTGATACCTTTATTTATTTATTTTAATATATATTTTTTAGTTGTAGTCGGACACAATACCCTTATTTATTTATTTTTATGTAGTGCTGAGGATCAAACCCAGGGCCTCGCACATGCTACATGAGTGCTCTACTACTGAACCACAATCCCAGCCCCTTTATCCCCCTTTTAACTAGAACTAATTATTGACCTTAGGAGCTTGGTAAAAACACATTGTAAGAAAACCTCAAAACTCATTCATTTTTACTGATCATTTCTTCTTAAACAGTAATGTTTTCTTGTTATATTACACAAATTTAATTACTGTTAAGATCTTAACAGGATCTGCTTCTTCACTCATCCATATTATGGCTCTGCTAAATTGTGATATACAATCTATCCTGAATTAATTTTTTTTTCACTACTGAAAATAAAACCAAAGGATAACCTACCACTGACCAACAACACTACCCTTTTTACTTTTTATTTTCAGACAGGTCTCCATAACTTGATGAAGCTGGCCTTGAACTTCCAATCTGCCTACCTCACTCTCCCAAATTGCTAGAATTACAGGCATGTGCCACTATGCCCAGCTTCAATTAGTTCTTGAATTTTTATTTTATATATGGTACAAACTACAACTTAAAATTCTTTTGGTTTTTAAATATTAATATTTACTAGGTCTAACACAATTTGTTAAGAAAAA